GAGGTGAAGTGTTGAAAAAGTAGCTACACCAAGCTCTAGACCACAGAACACCCTACAGTCTTTGCCCCCGGCTTGGTGCAGATGGGTGAGAAGCCACTGCTGATGGAGAAGGGCAAAATGGAGAATAAGGATGAAACCCGTGAAGATGGAGAACAACCCAGTGAAGAGTCCTTTGACATGGAGAATATGGAGAACATGGGTAAGCAGGAGAAGGAGGAGGTGGCAGTACTGCTTTTGCAAATGTTGCTTACCTGGGGATTACTGCTGCAATGCTTCAGAAGGATAGGAATGATGATTAGAGTATTCAGTGGCAAGGTGTGTTCCTGCTTTAACAGCAATCAGAATAATAAGAAGATACAGGTACCCAGGTAACTTGGAATACCCAGAGGAAAGCAAAGAAGTGGAAGATGACCGGGCTCTGTTGAGAAACCTGAGGAGGACCAGAATCCGCATGGTGTGGGCCCAGAAGAGCAGCTCAGACTGGTGGGAGCGAATTGTGCTGACAACTTGGAACAACCAGCAGTGGCTAGAGATATTCTGAATGAAAAGGGAGATGTTCTATTATATCATCTTGATGCTGCAGCCCCATTTCGCGAGTCAGGGCACTAACGTGAATCAGACAAGAGGGTTGTAATGGCCATCACGAAACTGAACAGCTCATCCAGCCTCTGCTACATGGCAAACCAGTTTGGCATGGCTGCCTGCACAGGTGGGCTGGCAACTCTTGACGTATGCCAGCTGCTAAGGGAAATCACTTCAAACAAAATTATCCACCTGGAAAATTCACATCAAGTTATAGATGGCTTCAATGACAAGGGGTTCCCAAACTGCGTGAGGGCTTTACACAGCACTCACATCCCAGTGCTGTGACCTGTGGAGATGGGGAAGGCTTTCACAAACAGGAAAGGATATGCCTCCATGATCCTGCAAGCCATGGTGGACCACCAGGGTTGGCTCATGAACATTTATGCAGCACGCATGATGCATGCATGTTCAGAAACTCTCCTCTGCCTGGCCTCATGGAGAAAGGACACTATACATCCAGCGTGGAGGAGACAGTAACATTTCCCTGGTTATATTAGCAGATGCTGCTTACCCCCTAAAGCCCTGGCCCATGAAGCCTTATGGAGGGAACATCATTGACCCACAGAAGCTGTTTTTTAACTACCATCTAAGCAGATACAGGATGGCTGTGGAATGGGTGTTTGGTCAATTGAAAGGAAAATCAAGGGCACTTATTATGTGCCTGCTCGGGATGGAGACAGAAAATATCACAGCCTTTGTAGTGGCAGCCTGCATGCTGCACAATATCTATGAGAGCTGCGGAGAGGTTTTCAAGGAGTCGTGGGAAGAAGAAGCATGACAGGCAGTGGCCAGATAACAGAGACTTGTTTGGACAGCAGCAGCAGCACAGACACTGAGGAGATATCTTCAAGGAGAGACTGGTCGGATGGCCCTGGTGCATAATTGTCTGGCAAGATATATTGCTGACAACAACACCTAGGAGTGCTTTGCTCTTTCTCTTGGTTATGTTAAAATAAATTCATTTACACTTTAAATCTGTGTCTGTATATAAGAGTGTGCGGTGTTGCGGATGGGGGGCAGAGGGGAGGACGGTCAGGGCAGGGGAGAGGAAATATAGACTAGGCTAGGGGTTTGCTGCTTCCAGACTGTGAGTGGTTTGGGGAGGGGGGGCATTATGCACCATCACCTACATCTGAATGACCTCCCCCCGATATGGGCGAGAAGATTAACTATAGCTCTTGGCAAGCTAGGCGAGCAGGAGACCAAGCCGAACTGCAACCCACATTTTCAAAACCACTTCAAAAACATTTATAAAACATTTCACAACACACCTCCAAAAGCTGTATGTCACACTACACAAACAGTTTGACAGTAAAACCTGGGTAGGAAATGGGAGAGTTCCAATGGGAGCCCTCACTGGAAACTGTATGAAGATCAATGAGATAGGGAATGCTGGGAAATGTAGTCCAAAACAAACAAACAGAGCCAGAAGAGCTTGCCACCACCACCAACATTGACAGCAATCTCTAATCAACCAGGTGGCAACAAACACCCACCCACTCACCACTCTAACTCTGAATACTTTGTGAAATCATAGCAGTTATAGTAAATTTTATGAATTTCAGAGGGCTGATCATTGTTAATATTAGTCCAAACAGAATTATCATATGAATGGGAGTTTTATCTATTTATTTTTGGTGGATTGTTTGTTCTGCTTGTTTTTGTTGTTTCGCTCACTGCAAGAATTTTAGAACACCTTTAATCATATACTTGCTCATAGAAATAGCTGCTTCCTGTGAAAAGTCTGAAGGGAGCACAATATATGTGCCAGGATTTTCAGCACAAGCTTAATTGCAGACTTAGGACTAAAATAGTGCTATGAACATAATGAGACATGAGGAAACAGAAGAAAAGACAAGGTTTCCACCCTTGTAAGCTGACAACTTTATTCAGACTGACATGGGGGGCAAGGGGCAGTATAACAGTTCCAGGTCTGACACACAGGAGGTTCAGAGACTGTGGTAGGTAGAATGAAAGAGATAGTAACAATGAAGCCGTTGTCACATATTATACTTTGCATGTCTTAACTGTACTTATAATGTCAATGTCTGTGCATTCAAGCAATAAAACACATGCCAAATGCACTAGTGGTGTAGCAAACTTATGCTTCTGCAGTAAGGAGCATCTCCACATTGTGTTACACAACAAGTGTTGCACTAAAATAAGTCTGCTTCTTGGAGACAAGGCAAGCAGTTTGTGGTCATCACCATCTCAGGATGCACCATTCCATCTCTGTGGGTGATCAACCATCAACCTGAAATCTACTGCCCAAGCAGTAGTTTTAGCACCATCCTCCCCACTTCTCCCTGCCCAGCAACTGCTACCAAATAGTCAGTGAGAGTATGGGGAGGGTGCCTAGGTGCACTGTGTGCATTCCCCCCCCCATACTCCAGCTGCTGCAGATGCCCAGAGCTTTGCACTGTGTGTGGCTAGATGACAAGCAGGCAGTGGAGGTGTGAGCAGGAGATCTGCTGAAATATGCATTGGAAATATGCAACAAAGGCACTCCAGTCTGCTCACTGGCCCTCTAGCAGCAAGTCCAAGCAGGTCAGAGATTGTAGTAAATGTTACTATGTGACTACTCTGAACATGTTCTAAATTTAATGACACTTAACTTTCCACGGATTTAGCAGGCACACATTGTAATATGTAACAATGTCTTGAAAGAAGTGAATTTGCAGGAAGAATCTGAAAAGAGGGTGCAAATAGCCTGAAAGGCTTTGCCCATTTAGATTGTCCTGCTAAAAGAAGAAAGCTTTGAGTATTTGACACTTTTCAGGCATATTGTACTTGCCAATTACTGCATTCATGGCAGCAGATGAAAAGGGGGTTAAGAAATATCTACAGGGGTCGGAATGTAAAGTCTAAACCTTCCTTGCTCCCAGATTATCGCAGACCTGGGGGTAAAGAGGGGGAACCAGTGTGCTTATTTTTCGGAAGGTGTAAACCAGGCCAGCTCCCTGCTGACCTCAATAAGCCCTTAAGGTTTCACACTGAAATCCTAATGCCAGTAAAGTCAATGATAATGTTCCTGTAGTTTCAGCAAGATCAGAAATGGAAGGGATGAGCTGAGACTGGATGAGTTCCAAGCGAGGTTCTGAAAATGCATGACTGAAAGACTCTTTGCAGACATGCAGCATAAAACAGTCCTGCTAAAAAGTCTTGAGGAAGAATATAAATCCATGTTCATGTTGTGGTAGAATCTGAGACCAAAACCTTGGCCGAATTGACAATTCTTGTTCCAATCAGCTGCTTCCAAGATAAATATTGTGATTGTGGTTTGAACAACTCAGCCCTGACATCTCTGCAGTTTACCAGCATCTCTTCACAATACTCCAGAGCATTCTCAGAGCCCATGCCCTGCACAAAATTGGAAAAAGCTGGCTTTCTTTTGTGGCCAGGTTTTACCACAGTTTGAGGTTATGATCTAGCAATGCTTCTACAGCAGTGTTACATCAAGATGGCATGATGTAAATGATCTTTTTTCACATCTTTTGGTTTGGTTATAAATTCAAAAAGCTTTTCAGTTACTGCCTGACCCTGACTATAAAGTCAATCTAGAGCTATGAAATGGATCTGCCTGTGACCTTGGAGATCCAGTGCCATTTGGGTTTTGCAGCCTGGTTTGTATTCCTGCATTGTTTATTTTGAAAGACTGAGTTTATGAGAAAGCTAAGAATACCTGAAGTAAAATAATGTGAGGGAGCAGTATCATGAAGTCTTCTTGAGGCTAATGCTAGAGATCAATATTTCAGAGATGTATTAGGCCATGGTTTGTGTAAATGATAATACATTTCAGAAGTCATCTGAGGGTGAGGCTGAGTCAGGTAATGTCTGCTGTATTAGATCAGATTTTCCACAGCCTTGCACCTTGTATGATATTGTTCTCTGTGCTAAGTAGGGCTGTGCAAAACTTCAGTCCCTGATTCAATTCGGCGGATATTCAGCCCAATTCTGGGCTGGGGTGGATGAAGCATCCCAGAAGCGTGCGTGGTATTTTCCCCCTGCCACCCTCCCTGCATGGCAACAGACCTGGAAGTGGACCAGAAGCATTTCCAGTCCACTCCTGGGTCTGCTGGGGAGCACAAGCGGGTGCCCCTGTACTGCCCCCGGCTCAGTGACTGGTGCCTCCTGGGTTTGTGGGGGGGGCATCCAGGATCCCCTAGTGGGCAATCACAGAGCTGGGAGGGCATCAGATAAGAAAATGAAGATTTTCTGGTATTAAGTACCACTATTCAGCAGCACATAGCTTAATTTTGAAAATTTTCCCTAATTCTTAGCTAATATTTTAAAGATTTGTTTTCCAAACTCTTCCCCAACCAACTTTTCCACTGCCTCCCTCCACACCACCCCACTCCCCCAGTTGTACATGCTTGACTTCCTAAGATTAACCGTATGTAAACTTTTTACTTTAGAAATATGTCCTGTCTTGGATTTGGAAAATGGTAGAATCTACTATAGCTATTGGAGAAAATTCAGAGAAGGTGCAACAACTTCATATTCATGTAAGCGGGACTATAGCCCTGAAAATGAGCAAGACAGGATTACATGCACTAAGAATGGCTGGTCGCCTACTCCAAGATGCATCCCTGAGAGTAAGAAGTACCTGTGTTTTATTGACTAAACTCTATAGCTATTATTGTCATAAATTTCTTAGGATAAATACAAAAATAACAACTCTGTAGGTGACCTGCCATGATGGTATATGTTCCTGAGCCAAGGACTTGTGGGATAAATAGATCACCACAACCTTTGACCTTTGTCAGCTCCACTTGTTGTGCCATGTGTGGTATTTCAATTGTAAACTTTCTGTGACAGGAACTTTTCCTAAAAAGCAAAGCTTATCTTCTGGGTATAATTGAATGTCCATCTTAAAGTCCAGACCAGTTTCTTGTTTTCCTAACCTATTCAACTACCATGCTCAGAGTCCTTCTCCATCCAGTCCTAACTGTTCCCTGCTTCTCCTCCTACCATATAGACAGTACTCTTAGGTTTGGTTTTTCTTGCCTTTACTCCTTAGGATCTCCATGCTCCTACCTTTGGTTCCCTGCTGCCCATGAACAACCTTATACAAATCAAGTTCTTTGATTCAGGTTTGGAAATAAAGGTCTTTCTGCATAAAGTGTGGCAGTTTTGTGCAGCGGGTGGTTTTCTTTCTACAGTTTCTTCTAATTCCAAGCTAGCTCCAGTCTCTGTACCCCAGCATCACACTCTTGACTCCCTCCTGCTAACTGGGCTTTAACTATTTTTTCAGCAACCTGTCATGAAGATCATTTGGAAAATGGCAGATTCCACAGAAACTATTGGAGGACATCATACAAAATAAATGAGAGAATGACCTATTCATGTAATTCAGAGAACGACCGTGAGAATCAGCAACACATTGTTACATGCACCAAGAACGGTTGGTGGCCTACTCCAAGATGTATCCCAGACAGTAAGTGTTTATATTCTGTTGGACCTTGGTTAAAAACATAGCTACGGTATTAAAGTTTGCTTAAAATAGATAACAACCAACTCTAACAGAGAACTCATATATTAGTGCATGCTCCTGAGATGCTTCCAGAGTTTTACCTCATGCCTCCTATTTAGAGGTCAGATTGTCTGAGATAGAAAACATGTGTTTGTTTGTTTTTGCATTTTGTGTTTTGTCTTTTTGTGATCAGTATGGCAAATAGTAATAATAATAATGTCCATCCTACTGTCCACATCTTCTTCCACGAGTTCATCCATAGAGAGGGGACAATAATAGTGCAGCCTTTGAATTGTAGTGATTTGAATGTTGTGGTTCCAGAGCTAGGAAAAAAGCACTGTAGAGAAAGTCCTGCTTGGCCTCTGCAATCCTAGGATTGAACATGTTCAGTGCAGAAGAAATCTCCAGATGCTAGGATAATCAAGCTAAGCAGTCTTATTGAGCATTTGACAACTGACTGTTGTTGGCTTATAGCTTGATTGAATATTTGTGGATTTCCATAAGGATCCATAAGGTTAAAAAAAAGACTTATCCCCAACACAAAGCAGATACCCAAACCCAGTTTCAGATCCTCCCTTTAGCCTGGTCAGGGCCTGAATGCAGAGTGGTCCAAAAAGTGGTGGTACCCAAAGGAGACTCATCTTTCCCAAAAGCTCCCTATCGGACAAGAGCATGTGTGCTGTGTGATTTCTTTTGGGTTGATTTAGCACATTTCAATATCTACACCTGAAGCATGCTTTAAGGTGTTGCTAAATAAGTTAAACACAACTTTTCATATTCTTCTTGTGCTCATCCTTCCTCTATGGTTATATTGGATAACTAGTGCAGTAGACCTGAGGTGCTTGGCCATCATTCGATATTCCATATGGAATTTAAAGTTTAGCAAACCATTCCAGTCAGCCAAATACTATAAGAGAACTTGGGTACATACACAAACATCCCCATTCTTCCTCAAATTTGTGTTCCCTCCCCATCTGTAACCTCCCAGATATGTACGAAAAGAGGTACAATGTATTTCAAAAATTAGTAAATTCAGGCAGAGAATGCCCAGAAGGAAATGTCCTGTTGGTAGTAGTCCTAAGGTATACCACTGCTTGGAAATGAAGTATATTATAGTGGGGTTGGAAGTATCTCAAGAAGGCAGGTTATGTGGTCATGCTGTGGGATATATATATATAGGGCTGCATTTCATGCAGAAGTCCCTTTTCATTTGTGATGTACATTATAGATCTAAGGCTCCTTTAGAAAAAGTTCTAGAAAACACGTACCCTACTTTTGAAAGGTCCTAACAAGGAGACAAGATCTGGATTTAGGGGCTGCACACCGGGGCTGGGATTTGTGTGCCAGCTTGGGGGCCATTGACTAGGAGCTGTGTGCTGGAGGCTTGGGATGGGTGGTTAGGAGCCATGCACTGAAGCTGGAGTCTAGACTGGGGGCCATGTGCCAGAGCAGGGGCTATGTGGCAGGGTCCAATCCTGTATGCAGACATGGGCTGCATGGCTGGGCCAGCTCTAGCATACTGACTCCAGGGCTGCATGCTGGGATCAATCCAGCACACTGGCTCCAGGGCCATGCTCTGAGTCTGGAACTGTGCACTGGCTCCTTGGTCCAGGACTATGTGCTGACTCAGACCGCATGCCAGTTCCAGCTGCAAAACAATCTCACACACCCTCCAAATTCATCCCTGTTTGGGGAGCCGAGCTTCCCACAGGTCCACAAATTTGGAGGGAGGGAGAAAGGAGTGAGAGGTGGCAGCATTATTTGCCTTGGCTTCCAGAGCCACAGCTATTAATGCTGCCACTGCTCTGCCCACCCCCCACCCAAATTTATGGATGTGTGGGAAGCCCTTTTCCTTGCATATCATGCACATCT